GAGGGAGTCAGGGAATGAATGAGTGGTTGAGACGTTGATGCCGTCCGTATCTGCCGTATCGTGTTTCGCTAGTGGTTTCCATGATGTTCCATGCAAAAAATGCAATATTTGTCAAGAAAGTGAGAGTTCGCGGGGCCACCAGCGACGGGCAGAGTTCGAAAAAAATGGTCTATCAAGTGTTTGACACGTTCAGTCCGTCCGTATTTGCCGTGTCGTTGTCCGCTAGTGATTCCCGTGCATAAATGCAAGATTGTCTAGAAAGTGAGAGTTCGCGGAGCCACCAGCCACAGTGAAGAGTTCGAAAAAAAGGGTGTATCAAGTGTTTGACACGTTTATGCCGTCCGTATCTGCCGTATCGTGTTTCGCTAGTGGTTTCCATGGTTTTCCATGCAAGACTGCAATATTTGGCAAGAAACTGAGAGTGGCGCAGCCACCAGGGACACTGCATGACAGTGCAGAGTTCGAAAAAAATGGTGTATGAAGTGTTTGACACATTCAGACCGTCCGCATCTGCCGTGTTGTATTTCGCTAGTACTTTCCGTGCCAAAATGCAATATTGTTTAGAAATTGAGAGTTCCCAGCAACCAGCCGCAGTGCAGAGTTCGAAAAAAATGGTGTATCAAGTGTTTGACACGTTGAGGCCGTCCGTATCTGCCGTGTTGTATTTCGGTAGTGCTTTCCATGCAAAAGAGCAAGATTGTCAAGAAACTGAGAGTGGCGCAGCCACCAGGGACAGTGCGGAGTTCGAAAAAAATGGTGTATGAAGTGTTTGACACATTCAGACCGTCCGCATCTGCCGTGTTGTATTTCGCTAGTGGTTTCCATGATTTTCCGTGCAAAATGCAATATTGTCTAGAAATTGAGAGTTCGCGCAGCAACCAGCCGCAGTGCAGAGTTCGAAAAAAATGGTGTATCAATTGTTTGACACGTTGAGGCCGTCCGTATCTGCCGTGTTGTATTTCGCTAGTGGTTTCCATGATTTTCCGTGCAAAAATGCAATATTGTCTAGAAATTGAGAGTTCGCGCAGCCACCAGCCGCAGTGCAGAGTTGGAAAAAAGGGTGTATGAAGTGTTTGACATATTCAGACCGTCCGCATCTGCCGTGTTGTATTCTGCTGGTGCTTTCCGTGCAAAGAAGGCAACATTGTCAAGAAACTGAGAGTGGCGCAGCCACCAGGGACAGTGCAGAGTTCGAAAAAAATGGTGTATGAAGTGTTTGACACATTCAGACCGTCCGCATCTGCCGTGTTGTATTTTGCTAGTACTTTCCGTGCAAAAATGCAATATTATCTAGAAATTGAGAGTTCGCGCAGCAACCAGCCGCAGTGCAGAGTTCGAAAAAAATGGTGTATGAAGTGTTTGACACGTTGAGGCCGTCCGTATCTGCCGTGTTGTATTTCGGTAGTGCTTTCCATGCAAAAAAGGCAAGATTGTCTAGAAATTGAGAGTTCGCGCAGCCACCAGCCGCAGTGCAGAGTTCGAAAAAAATGGTGTATCAATTGTTTGACACGGTGAGGCCGTCCGTATCTGCCGTGTTGTATTTCGCTAGTGGTTTCCATGATTTTCCGTGAAAAAATGCAATATTGTCTAGAAATTGAGAGTTCGCGCAGCCACCAGCCGCAGTGCAGAGTTCGAAAAAAATGGTGTATGAAGTGTTTGACACATTCAGACCGTCCGCATCTGCCGTGTTGTATTCCGCTAGTGCTTTCCGTGCAAAAAAGGCAACATTGTCTAGAAATTGAGAGTTATCGCAGCCACCAGCCGCAGTGCAGAGTTCGAAAAAAATGGTGTATCAAGTGTTTGACACGTGCAGGTTGTGAGTATCTTCTGGGGGAGCGCGGGAGGGAGGGAGGGAAGGAGGGAAGGAGGAGGAAAGGAGGGAACAGGGAGGGAGGGAAGGGAGGGAGGGAGGGAGCGAGGGAGGGAGGGAGGGAGGGGCGGGAAAGAGAGAGAGAGAGAGAATTACTGAAAGTGACACTGAGAGCGAGAGTGAGAGTCAGAGTGCGAGTGCGAGTGCGGGTGAGAGTGAGGGGGAGAGTGAGTGTGCGCGTGAGTGTGAGCGAGAGGGAGAGAGAGTGCCCAGGTGATGGCGGGGTCGTCAAAGTCAGAGGCAGCCGCTTTTGAAGTGTAGTGCTCGTGACCGCTGCGGAGTCGTCAAAGTCAGAGGCAGCCGCTTTTGAAGTGTAGTGCTCGTGACCGCTGATCCTGTTTGTTTCCTGTTGGTCGAACCCACCCCTCCGGGGGGCGGGGCAGTGTGTCTTGCTGGCGCAGGGCTTGGGACCGCTTTATGGGGCTTGATTCCCACAGCAAGTGCTAGGAGGCCAAGTCGTGCCTGTAGAGTAAAAGCCAGCGGTGTTGAGAGAGGCTATGCGATTGATTGCTTGTGCTGCATCATGCAGTTTTCCACAGCCACTAGCTGTTACTCGACATCCGTTTTCTCAGAGCAGAGGCGGTTTTGCGTTTGAAACATGGCTGCCGCAAATCCAACAGTGGAGCTGCAGCGGATCCGCCAGGAGGTTTCTTTTGGTAGGTAGGACGACATAGAACGGGAGCAGTTGTGCATTGTTGCACTTTCTGTCGTGTGATTTCCTTTGGAAGGTTGCATGTCTTCGAAGAAAGATTTCTTCGTTGTCACGGACGAGAAGAGCCGAGAAGCAGCGGGAAGCCAACATGGGCTTGAATCCCCGTCAAGTGTTTGTCTTATTGGCGATTTATGTACTTACTGGTGACCCAGCGGTGGCTCTCGAGTATATCAGCGCGAAGGCTGCGCGTGAACAGATGGAAGAGGCAGACGCAGAAGACAAGAAACGATATGTGGAAGAGCTGTACCTCAAAACAAGCTTGGAAGACATAGCATCGCTGCAGGATCCTTCTGGTTCGCGGCAGGGCATTTACAAGACTGCACAGCGTTGGATTGCCAGACGAAAAGCCAGAAACTTCGTGTGCAATATGAATGCGATTGGCGTGGCTCCAAGTTCAGAGCAAGTTGCAGAAGAATATCGCAAACAAAGTGCGTCCTTTGTGCCAACTACCGATGCCCGTGGATTACGAGCCTGGAGCAGTCGCTTCCGTCGCAGTTTTGCCTTCCGGCTGGGCAAGATGAAAGCGGCCAAGCCAGTGGGAGATGTTTGTGCAAAGGCCGGGTGCTGGGTTCTCGAGACTTCCTGCACGCATAACACCGCACGCTTATGGTAGCTGCTTGCAGTGGATCGTTCTGCACTCATCTGCGTTTCGATACCTCCTAACCAGCGGCAGCATTTGGACCCGAGGATTGAGGGGCCGCATCGCTTTCGACTCCATGCGGGGATGCTTTTTGAGCTCATTTTTGGACCCTCTTTTTGGAGCTGCTTTCTAAGGCTAACTCGTGGAAGCACTTACAACCCCAAAACGAGGCTCCAAAATGAGGCCTCGTTCTGGCTCCAGTTTTGGGGCCCAATTTGGGTTCAATTTCGGTAAGCCATTTCTCGTTGCCTGCAGGCCGTGCTCTTCTGGCGCCACGCTGCTTGGTTGGAACGCTCCAGCGCGAAGCAGCCAGTCTACATCAATATAGATGAAACGGCTTTAGCCTATTCGTTCCATGCTGCGCCTGGCCTGATACAGCGGAAATTCCACGCAGAGGTTCAAATTAGACCTCAAGACGCACGTGGGTGCATCACCCACGTCGCTCTCGTCTCAAATGTCCTCGGTGTGCAAGCGTATTTGCCACAGATTTTAATATGTAACAAGCGTCGTCTCAGCAGAACCCTGGAGCAACAATTGCAAAGCGTTGTTCCCTCCACCGTGATGCTCTGTCGTGAGGATTCCTCATGGAATTCAGAACGACATATGGTCTCCTTGCTCACTCTCTTGGGTCAGCTCTTTCGCATCCGCTTCCCGCAATATCAGGCCATTGTTGTCTTCGACGCGGCCTCGTGCCATCTTTCTCCGGGCGTCATAAGAGAAGGACGCCTCCAGGGGTTATTCATGCTGCCGGTGCCCCCAGGCATGACGTCCTACCTGCAGCCTCTAGATTTATGGTGTTTTGGACCATATAAGAAATGGCTGGAGCGCGAAAACCGCCAGCAGCGAATTTGCCAAAATGGGTCCGTGTCTCTAGAGACTTGGTTTAGAACAATTTTCAAAGCGTGTACAGACTACTGGACGAATCGTCCCTTTTGGAAGGCCTTTGCACAGGCAGGCCTTCCCACATCCGAGCAAAGGTTGCATGGCAAGCTTGCCTCGCTGTTCCCGGAGGGAATTCCCAGTCTGGAGCAAGCTTTGTCTCAAGATGAATTTGCCCAGTTGTTGCCTAAAAGGCACGACTTGACCCGGACTTTTTCTGACTGGGTGGGCGGTCCCCGGCGAGAGGTGCCGGTGCTTTCCTAAACATCTTGAAGCATGCAGAGAAGACGTGCTGCCGCAAAAAATTGCAACTGTACAGGAACGACTTGTGCTCCTAGCGTATCAGCTGCTCCAAGCACTCTGATTTTGGCTCCTGCCATCAAGCAGTTGATTTGGCGCTTGCTGAGTTCTCTGCTTGGCTCCAGCAAACCCTGCCTTAAAACACCGTGCTGAAGGCATGGCAAACAACGAGGCTGGTCAACACTGTTTCACAGCACCCCTGCTGAAACAAAGCGCCCCGCCCGAGGCCGAGGTTGCGGGACCTGAGCTTCCACGAGAGCCCGACCGTGTGGAACTGCCCCAGGTAGCCATGCCAAAAAGCATCCACAGGAGCAGCTGCTCATTCGTATCTACGCAGGAGACGCTAAACGAACGCCTTGCTGCCTTAAAAGCTGCCAGGGCAGCTGCGAAGGCTCACAGCATGTGTGTCTTAGGAGGCTCAAGCTTTTTTTTTTTACAGCCTTATGTGCCTCTCCAGGTACAAGCCAAGCAGCTGAGCAAGGTGGTAAAGGCCGAAACAAAAAAGCTCAAAAAAGCGCGGGCGGTGGCACGAAAGCTGAGCGAGGCAGACTTGTTAGGGCTTCTTGTAGAGAAGAGGCAACCAGTTCTCTGAGAGTGGGAGCTGGAAGCTTCTAGAAACTGTTTTTTCGAAGAGTTGAGACTGGAAGCTTCTTTGGAAGCTTGCAGAAACTGTTTTTTCGAAGAGTGCGGCCTGGAGTTTGCAAGCGCAGCTTCTGGGGCTGGCGAAGGAAGGCGTGTCGTTACGGACACGTGCTGTGCCAAACAGGGCTTCGCAACGCTCTGCATGTCTGGTTGTGTTGTAGAGTTTCAAAAGGTTTAGGAGTATCGCCCAAAGTCTTCCAACTTGTGAGCGCCTGTGACGGCTGGAGGTGGGAGGGTAGGCTTTCTTGTAGGAGTGGCATCAGGCAAACCAGTCTCGATTCCGATGTAAAACTTGAAATTTTGAACTAAGGGCAGCAGACTTGTGAAACGCCCGCCAACATGGAGTTCAGACAGAGCACAGGCACAGATATGAGTTTTTCCATGTGCATGCTGCATGGGGCATCTCCGAAAAAACCCTTCTGCTTCCTAAGGGCTTGTACAGCAACAGTTGCGGCAGCAGCAAACCTGTACATGGGACATGTGCGTCGAGAGAGCAGCACTGCTAGGATGTAACGGCCTCTTTATACCAAAGCTATTGGCGGTGCTAACAGAAACTTACTTTCGGATGCTTCAGCCTTGCAGCATGCCATGGCCTCAGAATAAGACCGTCGTGAGAGAGGTGCTGTGAGCAGTCCAAGTCAGTACAAGAGGAACATTTCCCTTCAGATGATTGGTTAATGTGGCTGCGCGAAGTGTTGCCGCAATTGATTTCTGCCCAGTGCGAATGTCAAAGTCAGGAAATTCGAACAAGCGGGTAAACAGCGGAAGTTTGAGACTCTCAGGTCGGGCATGGCGATGATTTTTGGAGGTGCGCTGAGGCCGTCGTTGCCCTGGATGCTGCGAGAGCAATCGAAGTCAGCACGAGAGGAACACATCTAATACTCTTACTGCGGCTTGCTGAAAAGGCCATAACCACGAAGCTATCATCTGCTGGATTGGCGACGGAACTCCTCTGAGTCTTCAGGGTTTTCGGCGCTTCGGAAGTGGGAGGGCGTAGGTAGAGGGCTGGACTGTGTGCGCTGTTTTTTCCGCCTTCGCTGTCTGCTCTTTCTATCATTGAGATGCAGAAAGCCCAAACCCAGAGACTCCAAAACTTCTTAATTAAGGAATATGCAGTTTAAATTAGAACGGAAGCCTACTTAGATTTGAAGTCAATTCCTTAATTAAGGGGTTTGGAGTCTCTGGGCCTGGATGCTGCAAGAGCAATCGAAGTCAGCACGAGAGGAACACCTCTTATACTCTTACTGTGGCTGGCTGATAAGGCCATGACCACCAAGCTATCATCTGCTGGATTGGCGACGGAACTCCTCTCAGTCTTCAGGGTTTTCGGCGCTTCGGAAGTGGGCGGGGGTATTCACCCGCCAATAGGGAATCTGAGCTGGTTTAGGCCGCGTGAGACACGTTACCTGATGAACTAGATGCTGCGAGAGTAATCGGAGTCAGTAATTGGAAAGGTGAAGCAATGACCGTCGTGAGACAGGTTTATTTTTGGTCTGACAAACCCCAAACCTCCAAAGAGGAGGTGAGACAGGTTTAGTTTTACTTTTATAACCCTAAACCCTCAAAGAAAGCCCAAACGCAACAAGCACAAAAACCCGAAACTTTCTAAAAGCCGGGACTACAGGTCTCCTCTGCGATGTGTCCGAGCAAACAGGCCGAGCGAGATGTTGCGACAGTAATCGACTGTATGTTGGTTTGGACCGTTGTGAGACAGGTTTGCATGGATGAGCCAGATGTTGCGACAGTAATCTTTCTTTCGACCCCCCTTCCCCCCATACAATGGCCAAGCTTGGTGCAACAAGAGCGACACAGAATGCTGGGCTTGCTGCTCCAATTGCGGTATCTGCTTATTGTAACCTTTGTAATTCCCAAAAGCCCGGACCAAGGTCCGCGCTTGCTTTGCTGCGAAAACCGTGGTCCGCGGTAGGTTTCTCGGTTAAATGCTCGGGTCCGCGCAGGTCCGCGCCAGTTTGGTCGAGAAAACTAGTAGACTTCTTAACCAAATGCTCAGCTCCCTGCAGATCCGCGCTTGCTTTGCGCGAAAACTGTAGTCGGTGCAGGGTTTCCGCGAAAACCGTGGTCCGCGGTAGGTTTCTCGGTTAAATGCCCGGGTCCGCGCAGGTCCGCGCCAGTTTGGTCGAGAAAACTATGGTCTGTAGTAGACTTCTTAACCAAATGCTCAGCTCCGTGCGGGTCCGCGCTTGCTTTGCGCGAAAACTGTAGTGCGTGCAGAGCTTCTGGGCTAAATGCTCGTGTTCCCACGGTTGAGAAAACCGTGCGAACGGTTTCTGAGCTAAATGTTTGGGTCCGCGCAGGTCCGCCCCGGGTTTGCCAACAAAACCGCAGGTCCGCGCCGGTTTTGTCGAGAAAACCGTGCTAGGTTTCTGAGTTACATGCTTGCGCCCGCGCAGGTCCGCGCCGGGTTTGCCAAGAAAACCGTGCCAGGTTTCTGAGCTAAATGCTTGGGTTCGCGTCGGTTTTGCCAAGAAAACCGTGCCAGGTTTCTGAGCTAAATGTTTGGGTCCGCGCAGGTCCGCGCCGGGTTTGCCGAGAAAATCGTGCAAGGTTTCTAATCTAGCTGCTTGGGTCCGCGCAGGTCCGCGCCGGGTTTGCCGAGAAAACCGTGCTTGGCGCTGCGTTTCTGAGCTACATGTTGGGGTCCGTGCAAGTCCAGGGATTTGGCGAGACAGCCGTGGTCCTTAAAACGAACCTTTACAGACATTCCGGAGTTGGTGGGGTTTAGGATTGTCGCAGCAGAGCCACCAAATCCAGCTGCCTATTTCATTGCAAGCTGGCTTGCAATCTGTAATGTACGTCTTGTGAATGTTGTCATGTCTTGAGATGTGCCGCGCTGCCCGTCTTGACGGCCTCAGCTGCTCAACTGCTGCAGCCTACAGGCATAATCCAGGCCAAATTCTGCATTCTGCAGGTTCCCTTGACCTTGAAACAGCATTCAAGCCTAAATACTGCAACGAACTTACGAGCTCAGCAATTCTGCAGCAACAATGTCAGCAAAGCAGTGCCTCTCAGTCTGCGGAGATTCTGCATTGGTCTCAAGCCTCGCCTGTAGCACCCGTGCTTTATGCAATGCCAACTGAAGCTGTGTGACAGTTCCAGTGCAGGCATGGCACTGCATGGCAGAAACAGATGAGTCTTTGGAGGAAGCGCTCGCAAGGCTTGTGGCAGAGGCTCAGGTGGAAGACTTCCCGCTGTCATCCGAGCCAGGGCTGGAGACCAATCCAGATGATGCTGCACTTGTTCCGTTTCTTGAAGATTTGGACAGTGCTGTGAATCACAGCTCCAGTGTCGATGGTGTACAGCATCGCCAAGAGGACGAAGAGGATGCTGCGCTGCTTCCGTTCCTTGCAAGTCTTGCAGGTGAGGCACGTGACACTGGTGTCACTGCGCCTGTGAGTGAGTCTGCTCCGGCGCCCGCTGCTCCGGCGCAAGAGCGGCGAAAGCGTCAACGAATCGATTGGCAACTTGTCCCCATAAACTTCCGCAGTAGGTTCTGTTGTTTGTCGTTGTGCTTTCTTTTGCGCATTTGCATTCGTTGCAAGCGTTTTTGCACCTATAAGTGGTAAAGCCTCATGCTTGCCACCAGGACTGCGAAGGCCGCAAGGCCTCCAACGCCGCGTAGCGTCAAAGAGGCTCTGGACCAACTGGGCCACCGTGACCGGACTGATGCACGAGATGCCTGGGTGTTCCGTTTCCTTGCCGCAGCACCGGACCTGAAGGCGAAGTTTTCGGACAGCAAAGCGGCTAAGGCAGCTTTACGGAAGTATTTCGCATCGAGTACGAGCGAAATGCTGCGGCACGAGTGGTATAAGCATTGGGTGGCGCCTGCGGCTTGCGGCAAGCCAGCTTTTCCTTCCACGGAGGTTGTTTTGGCATGGTGGCGACAGCATTCAGACTTGGACTTGCAGATCGTCGCTAGCAGCGCTCCTGGAAACCATGATGGTGACCCTGCGCCAGCAGATGGACACGAGGGAGGGTCTCGTGTGCATGGCTACATGTTGACCTGGCACGGCCGCTGGGGTTGTCGAAATCCGGAAGCCCAGGAACTCATGCAGATGAGTGCGACTACGCCTTCAGCTGTGTTAGTGCACTTAGTTTCTGGCAGCGCTTTTTACAAGTGGCTTTGGCAGCAGTTCAAAGTCATGGCGTTGGGCGCGTGCGAAAAGTTGGAATGGCCTCGGCACACATTGAAAATGGAGCTTTCATTGCGTAGACGTTGCCCCGAGAATCTGGTGCATTTCCACCTTGCAGTCACCGACTCCAATCGACGCCATAGGCTGAGCAATGAGAATGGCTTTTGGACGTTCATGGGTGCCCAGCCACATGTTCAGCCTGTTTTGGGAAAAGGGAGATATTTGACGAGGGCTCTTGATGCTGGCCACTATTACTGTCAGGCGCCGAAGATAGGCAGCGTGCACGTGGCTACCAACTACGTGGCGTATCGAGATTTTACAGTGGAACTCCAAACAATATTTAACTTGTGGCGACGCCACAAGCTTGAAGATTCTGTGGCGAAATCCGAGCTCATGACGGCACGTGGCCGCGGGACTCGCAACTACTTGGCCGAGATCCAGCATCATGAGGCGTGGCAACAGGCGCGACGGAATGCAGCGGTTAAGGCTTTGTTGGAAAGCTGGATGCCTTGGAAGCCGAGCCGTATCGTTCCTGCAGTTGCCGCTGCGTATGCATGCAGCATTTTGTCATGCCCATTTTTCCTAGGCCTGTTTCTGTGGTTGCGCTTGTGTTGAAGAATGCTTAAGCAAACCCACTTGCAGGTGGAATGGATGCAGCTCTTTGCAACAGTTGGCACGAGGGCACGCTTTCCTTTCCTGGTTCTTGTTGGCCCTAGCCAGTATGGAAAAACCGAGTACGCGAAGCGGCTCTGGGGCGCAGAGCGGACGCTGGTGCTTTCATGCGAGGGTATTCGACAACCGAATTTGAAGGGCTTTCAGCGACAAGTTCACAAATGCATAGTTTTCGACGAAGGCAATGAAGAGATGATTTTGTCGAACAGGCAGCTCTTTCAGGCAGGTTTGAACGAGTGCATGCTTGCGCAGTCCAACTGTCAAGAGCACTGTTACTCGGTGTGGCTGTATGGCATCGCTCTGGTGATTTCCACGAACACCTGGATTGGCGAGGATCCATGGCTTGCGAAGAATGCAGTCGTCGTCCGCGTAGACGAGCCTCTCTGGCATGATGCGCCAGCGCTGTGCGCGTAAAAGAAGCAAATACCTTGACATTCCTGGCAATCCTGACCACAAGACTGGAACGTTGCAAATACATACGGGAATTTTACTCCAGAAACCCCAGGCCCTAAACCCGATCAGCTTGCGACGCCTGTGACAGTAGTGCTGCACGTGATAAGCTCAAAAATGTGCAGAAGATCCAGTCCTCGAGCAGGCTTTTGCTGCTTGGTCATGGATCTGTCGCAGCCTGAGGTGTGGGGGCGACGACAGTGCAGTGCGAGTGACAGCAGTGCTGCACGTGATAAGCAATATGCAGCACATCCAGGCATCTTTTTGCAGATGCTGTCTTTGGCGATGGACCTGTCGCGACCTGAAGTGATGCTGACTTGGGTGCCGATAGCAGAGCTGTGCAGGATCAGCTGAAGAAGTGTGCAGCAGATACAAGCCTCCAGCTACCGTTTTGCTGCTATTCTTGGCGAAGGATCCGTTGTGACCTGGGGTCGTGCTGACTTGGGTGGTGACAGTCGTGCCAGATCAGGTCCTCTGGGGGGGCTTCTCTACTAAGTGATGGATCTGTCGGAGCCTGAGTATGGGGGCGACGACAGTGCAGTGTAGGATCAGCTGCAGAACGTGCAGCACATCCAGGCGGCTTTTTGCAGATGCTGTCTTTCGCGATGGACCCTGTCGCGACCTGAAGTGATGCTGACTTGGCTGCCGATAGCAGAGCTGTGCAGGATCAGCTGAAGAAGTGTGCAGCAGATACAAGCCTCCAGCTGCGGTTTTGCTGCTATGCTTGGCGAAGGATCCGTTGTGACCTGGGGTCGTGCTGACTTGGGTGGTGACAGTCGTGCCAGATCAGGTCCTCTGGGGGGGCTTCTCTACTAAGTGATGGATCTGTCGGAGCCTGAGTATGGGGGCGACGACAGTGCAGTGTAGGATCAGCTGCAGAACGTGCAGCACATCCAGGCGGCTTTTTGCAGATGCTGTCTTTCGCGATGGACCCTGTCGCGACCTGAAGTGATGCTGACTTGGCTGCCGATAGCAGAGCTGTACAGGATCAGCTGAAGAAGTGTGCAGCAGATACAAGCCTCCAGCTGCGGTTTTGCTGCTATGCTTGGCGAAGGATCCGTTGTGACCTGGGGTCGTGCTGACTTGGGTGGTGACAGTCGTGCCAGATCAGGTCCTCTCGGGGGGCTTCTCTACTAAGTGATGGATCTGTCGGAGTCTGAGTTGGGGGCGACGACAGTGCAGTGTAGGATCAGCTGCAGAACGTGCAGCACATCCAGGCATCTTTTTGCAGATGCTGTCTTTCGCGATGGACCTGTCGCGACCTGAAGTGACGCTGACTTGGGTGCCGATAGCAGAGCTGTGCAGGATCAGCTGAAGAAGTGTGCAGCAGATGCAAGCCTCCAGCTGCGGTTTTGCTGCTATTCTTGGCGAAGGATCCGTTGTGACCTGGGGTCGTGCTGACTTGGGTGGTGACAGTCGTGCTGTACATCAGTTGAAGAGCGTGCAGAACATTCAAGCTCGGGCCACGGTTTTGCTGCTGTTCTTGGTAACGGATCTGTTGTTACTTGGGCGATAAGGATAGTACTGCCGTGCAACATCAGCTGAGGACTCAGGAATAAGCACGGCAGAGTGAGTGAGGGAGCGGGGTTGAGGGAGTCAGGGAGGGAGGGAGTGAGGGAGGGAGTGAGTTAGGGAGTGAGGGAGGGAGGGAGTGATTGAGGTACGGAGTGCAATTTGAGGGAGGAGTTGAGGGAGTGAGGGAGTGAGGGAGCGAGGGAGTGAGATGGAGTGAGGAAGCGCGGGAGGGAGTGAAGCAGGGAGTGAGGGAGGGAGTCAGGCAGGGAGTGAGGTGAGGGAGTGAGGGAGTGAGGGAGTGAGGGAGTGGCGGAGTGCGGGAGTGAGGGAGTGACGGAGTGAGGGAGTGAGGGAGTGCGGGAGTGAGGGAGTGACGGAGTGAGGGAGTGAGGGAGTGAGGGAGTGCGGGAGGGAGTGAGGCAGGGAGTGAGGGAGGGAGTCAGGCAGGGAGTGAGGTGAGGGAGTGAGGGAGTGAGGGAGTGGGGGAGTGCGGGAGTGAGGGAGTGACGGAGTGAGGGAGTGAGGGAGTGAGGGAGTGCGGGAGGGAGTGAGGCAGGGAGTGAGGGAGGGAGTCAGGCAGGGAGTGAGGTGAGGGAGTGAGGGAGTGGGGGAGTGCGGGAGTGAGGGAGTGACGGAGTGAGGGAGTGAGGGAGTGAGGGAGTGCGGGAGTGAGGGAGGGAGGGAGGGAGTGAATGAGGGAATGAGGGAGTGAGGGAATGAGGGAGTGAGGGAGGGAGGGAGGGAGCGAATCAGGGAATGAGGGAGTCAGGGAATGAATGAGTGGTTGACACGTTGATGCCGTCCGTATCTGCCGTATCGTGTTTCGCTAGTGGTTTCCATGATGTTCCATGCAAAAATGCAATATTTGTCAAGAAAGTGAGAGTTCGCGGGGCCACCAGCGACGGGCAGAGTTCGAAAAAAATGGTCTATCAAGTGTTTGACACGTTCAGTCCGTCCGTATTTGCCGTGTCGTTGTCCGCTAGTGATTCCCGTGCATAAATGCAAGATTGTCTAGAAAGTGAGAGTTCGCGGAGCCACCAGCCACAGTGCAGAGTTCGAAAAAAAGGGTGTATCAAGTGTTTGACACGTTTATGCCGTCCGTATCTGCCGTATCGTGTTTCGCTAGTGGTTTCCATGGTTTTCCATGCAAGACTGCAATATTTGGCAAGAAACTGAGAGTGGCGCAGCCACCAGGGACACTGCATGACAGTGCAGAGTTCGAAAAAAATGGTGTATGAAGTGTTTGACACATTCAGACCGTCCGCATCTGCCGTGTTGTATTTCGCTAGTACTTTCCGTGCCAAAATGCAATATTGTTTAGAAATTGAGAGTTCCCAGCAACCAGCCGCAGTGCAGAGTTCGAAAAAAATGGTGTATCAAGTGTTTGACACGTTGAGGCCGTCCGTATCTGCCGTGTTGTATTTCGGTAGTGCTTTCCATGCAAAAGAGCAAGATTGTCAAGAAACTGAGAGTGGCGCAGCCACCAGGGACAGTGCGGAGTTCGAAAAAAATGGTGTATGAAGTGTTTGACACATTCAGACCGTCCGCATCTGCCGTGTTGTATTTCGCTAGTGGTTTCCATGATTTTCCGTGCAAAATGCAATATTGTCTAGAAATTGAGAGTTCGCGCAGCAACCAGCCGCAGTGCAGAGTTCGAAAAAAATGGTGTATCAATTGTTTGACACGTTGAGGCCGTCCGTATCTGCCGTGTTGTATTTCGCTAGTGGTTTCCATGATTTTCCGTGCAAAAATGCAATATTGTCTAGAAATTGAGAGTTCGCGCAGCCACCAGCCGCAGTGCAGAGTTGGAAAAAAGGGTGTATGAAGTGTTTGACATATTCAGACCGTCCGCATCTGCCGTGTTGTATTCCGCTGGTGCTTTCCGTGCAAAGAAGGCAACATTGTCAAGAAACTGAGAGTGGCGCAGCCACCAGGGACAGTGCAGAGTTCGAAAAAAATGGTGTATGAAGTGTTTGACACATTCAGACCGTCCGCATCTGCCGTGTTGTATTTTGCTAGTACTTTCCGTGCAAAAATGCAATATTATCTAGAAATTGAGAGTTCGCGCAGCAACCAGCCGCAGTGCAGAGTTCGAAAAAAATGGTGTATCAAGTGTTTGACACGTTGAGGCCGTCCGTATCTGCCGTGTTGTATTTCGGTAGTGCTTTCCATGCAAAAAAGGCAAGATTGTCTAGAAATTGAGAGTTCGCGCAGCCACCAGCCGCAGTGCAGAGTTCAAAAAAATGGTGTATCAATTGTTTGACACGGTGAGGCCGTCCGTATCTGCCGTGTTGTATTTCGCTAGTGGTTTCCATGATTTTCCGTGCAAAAATGCAATATTGTCTAGAAATTGAGAGTTCGCGCAGCCACCAGCCGCAGTGCAGAGTTCGAAAAAAATGGTGTATGAAGTGTTTGACACATTCAGACCGTCCGCATCTGCCGTGTTGTATTCCGCTAGTGCTTTCCGTGCAAAAAAGGCAACATTGTCTAGAAATTGAGAGTTATCGCAGCCACCAGCCGCAGTGCAGAGTTCGAAAAAAATGGTGTATCAAGTGTTTGACACGTGCAGGTTGTGAGTATCTTCTGGGGGAGCGCGGGAGGGAGGGAGGGAAGGAGGGAAGGAGGAGGAAAGGAGGGAACAGGGAGGGAGGGAAGGGAGGGAGGGAGGGAGCGAGGGAGGGAGGGAGGGAGGGGCGGGAAAGAGAGAGAGAGAGAGAATTACTGAAAGTGACACTGAGAGCGAGAGTGAGAGTCAGAGTGCGAGTGCGAGTGCGGGTGAGAGTGAGGGTGAGAGTGAGTGTGCGCGTGAGTGTGAGCGAGAGGGAGAGAGAGTGCCCAGGTGATGGCGGGGTCGTCAAAGTCAGAGGCAGCCGCTTTTGAAGTGTAGTGCGCGTGACCGCTGCGGAGTCGTCAAAGTCAGAGGCAGCCGCTTTTGAAGTGTAGTGCTCGTGACCGCTGATCCTGTTTGTTTCCTGTTGGTCGAACCCACCCCTCCGGGGGGCGGGGCAGTGTGTCTTGCTGGCGCAGGGCTTGGGACCGCTTTATGGGGCTTGATTCCCACAGCAAGTGCTAGGAGGCCAAGTCGTGCCTGTAGAGTAAAAGCCAGCGGTGTTGAGACAGGCTATGCGATTGATTGCTTGTGCTGCATCATGCAGTTTTCCACAGCCACTAGCTGTTACTCGACATCCGTTTTCTCAGAGCAGAGGCGGTTTTGCGTTTGAAACATGGCTGCCGCAAATCCAACAGTGGAGCTGCAGCGGATCCGCCAGGAGGTTTCTTTTGGTAGGTAGGACGACATAGAACGGGAGCAGTTGTGCATTGTTGCACTTTCTGTCGTGTGATTTCCTTTGGAAGGTTGCATGTCTTCGAAGAAAGATTTCTTCGTTGTCACGGACGAGAAGAGCCGAGAAGCAGCGGGAAGCCAACATGGGCTTGAATCCCCGTCAAGTGTTTGTCTTATTGGCGATTTATGTACTTACTGGTGACCCAGCGGTGGCTCTCGAGTATATCAGCGCGAAGGCTGCGCGTGAACAGATGGAAGAGGCAGACGCAGAAGACAAGAAACGATATGTGGAAGAGCTGTACCTCAAAACAAGCTTGGAAGACATAGCATCGCTGCAGGATCCTTCTGGTTCGCGGCAGGGCATTTACAAGACTGCACAGCGTTGGATTGCCAGACGAAAAGCCAGAAACTTCGTGTGCAATATGAATGCGATTGGCGTGGCTCCAAGTTCAGAGCAAGTTGCAGAAGAATATCGCAAACAAAGTGCGTCCTTTGTGCCAACTACCGATGCCCGTGGATTACGAGCCTGGAGCAGTCGCTTCCGTCGCAGTTTTGCCTTCCGGCTGGGCAAGATGAAAGCGGCCAAGCCAGTGGGAGATGTTTGTGCAAAGGCCGGGTGCTGGGTTCTCGAGACTTCCTGCACGCATAACACCGCACGCTTATGGTAGCTGCTTGCAGTGGATCGTTCTGCACTCATCTGCGTTTCGATACCTCCTAACCAGTGGCAGCATTTGGACCCGAGGATTGAGGGGCCGCATCGCTTTCGACTCCATGCGGGGATGTTTTTTGAGCTCATTTTTGGACCCTCTTTTTGGAGCTGCTTTCTAAGGCTAATTCGTGGAAGCACTTACAACCCCAAAACGAGGCTCCAAAATGAGGCCTCGTTCTGGCTCCACTTTTGGGGCCCAATTTGGGTTCAATTTCGGTGAGCCATTTCTCGTTGCAGGCCGTGCTCTTCTGGCGCCACGCTGCTTGGTTGGAACGCTCCAGCACGAAGCAGCCAGTCTACATCAATATAGATGAAACGGCTTTAGCCTATTCGTTCCATGCTGCGCCTGGCCTGATACAGCGGAAATTCCACGCAGAGGTTCAAATTAGACCTCAAGACGCACGTGGGTGCATCACCCACGTCGCTCTCGTCTCAAATGTCCTCGGTGTGCAAGCGTATTTGCCACAGATTTTAATATGTAACAAGCGTCGTCTCAGCAGAACCCTGGAGCAACAATTGCAAAGCGTTGTTCCCTCCACCGTGATGCTCTGTCGTGAGGATTCCTCATGGAATTCAGCACGACATATGGTCTCCTTGCTCACTCTCTTGGGTCAGCTCTTTCGCATCCGCTTCCCGCAATATCAGGCCATTGTTGTCTTCGACGCGGCCTCGTGCCATCTTTCTCCGGGCGTCATAAGAGAAGGACGCCTCCAGGGGTTATTCATGCTGCCGGTGCCCCCAGGCATGACGTCCTACCTGCAGCCTCTAGATTTATGGTGTTTTGGACCATATAAGAAATGGCTGGAGCGCGAAAACCGCCAGCAGCGAATTTGCCAAAATGGGTCCGTGTCTCTAGAGACTTGGTTTAGAACAATTTTCAAAGCGTGTACAGACTACTGGACGAATCGTCCCTTTTGGAAGGCCTTTGCACAGGCAGGCCTTCCCACATCCGAGCAAAGGTTGCATGGCAAGCTTGCCTCGCTGTTCCCGGAGGGAATTCCCAGTCTGGAGCAAGCTTTGTCTCAAGATGAATTTGCCCAGTTGTTGCCTAAAAGGCACGACTTGACCCGGACTTTTTCTGACTGGGTGGGCGGTCCCCGGCGAGAGGTGCCGGTGCTTTCCTAAACATCTTGAAGCATGCAGAGAAGACGTGCTGCCGCAAAAAATTGCAACTGTAATCCCCATGTTTCAACGACCTGAAGTTTTACAGGCTTGCCGCGATGACTGGGTTACTTTTGCCGAGACCGAAGGTGAAAACCTCAAACAGTACTGCGCAATTTGCAGACAGTGGTGTTCGCCTGATAAAGGTGGCTTCAAGTCACACCTGCGTAGAACTCACGCTGATCTATGGGCATCCAACTCTGATCTTCTTGCCGAAATCAAGCATCATCATCGGCTCAAATACCGAGGGCCTTGCAAGGCTTGCAAGTTTGTGCCAGGTGGAGCTCAGAAAGGCGCGTTCCACGCCCATACTTGCACTGCCTACTATCAAGCATGTCTCTTGCATCGCCTGAGCACGCGACCTGAACTAATCACGAGCAGGTCCCAACATGACGACGCCGGCAGCGTTAGTCAAGGAGATGTTCGGACAGAAGTTGCCCTCACTCGCGACGACGCCAATGGAGACAGATCGACCCCGACGACACAAGCCCGACGATCGACGACCGAAGTGGCAGAAGCCAGATGGGAAGGGCACCGGCTACCGCCCGGACAAGCGCATCCGCGAGGACACCGACAGTCAGAACTGGTTCCCGAACGCAGAGGACTACCAGCTCACCGACCAGATATCGGGGGAGGAAGTCCGTCGCCTGCTGGCCATCCTAACCCGCCTTTGTCTGCGACAGGAGGACGACATCGCCGCCACACGGGCAGACAGCGCCTTCCTTTTCTACATGGAGACCAAGCCGGACCCGGAGCTAGCCTCGAGCCCATACCAGCCGTTCGCCAACAACTTCTTTGCCGTAGCACAGCGATGGCAGCAGATCAAGGAGAACACGCCACAGAAACTGGATCTGTCCATTCGCTCCACCTTGCTGCTGGCCTACATGACGGAATTCCACGAACGCCTGAGTCACGCCGTCGAGCCGACGAACAAGGAGATCTGGATGCAGGAGACAACGAACGCGACTCCATGCTGGACTTACGCGAAGTGGGACAGCGAAAAGAAGGTGAGCAGCACAGTGGACACGAGCAAAACACCGGTGGCCCACTCCTCGACGCTGTAGCGCACAGCTTGAAATTGCTCGGAGATTCGAGCCTGATACATCGATTCAGGGCGACCCGCCCACTCGCAGAGACTTACGAGTCCAACATCCTCACGTTTCTGATGCTTGTGAGCAACAGGGGCCAGGAGGCAGAAAATCTCTTCTCCACGATGGCCCTCCTGACAGATTGCATTGCCAAGGAGAGACTTCGTCGCCAGCACAGATTCTTCAGCGCGAGGCGTACAACCTCCTCAGAGCAACGAACCCGCGCAGCAGCAACTCCAGCGGCCATGCCTAGACCGCGAACCGAAGCTGAGGCCTACTCCTGTCTAGTTACGTAACCCACACAACGTTTGTTATCTGAATGCGTCCCTCACCGGCCTTCTCTGGGCACGTGAGATTGCTGAGAAAGCCGATGATTGTTTTGGTGCTCAGGCCTCGGCTTTCAAAGCCCTCCACACAGGCACTGCGCGCAAACCTGTCTACGTACCAGGCCTGCTCAACTGGGCTGGCCTTCTGAGAGGCTGGAGTAACTTGTCTTAACAACATGACTGTGCAGAGTTCTCCGATTTCTTGTTCAACAGGTTGCAGCCTCCCGCATTCCAGGGTGTATGGGAGGCTAGACTCAATGATGGCAGCATTATCGAATGCCAAGATCGCGGAAGTGTCCCGCCCTCGCTCCCTTTAAACATACCTGAGTCAACGATCTCCGTGCAAGAGCTGATTGAAGCGTGGCACAGCCGCCAAGAGGCTACTTTGGCCTTTACGCGAGCACCACGGTTTTTGCTCCTGCAGCTGAAGCGTTACAGGCACAACGACACTGAGGCTGTCAAGCTTAAAACCCCGGTTACCCTAAGCCCTACTGGGAAGAACCGTGGCTTTGTAAGTGTTTATATAGATTGCAAGCATGTTGTTAAATAGCTTGCAACCCGGTTGTATCTATATTGCAAATCACTATAAGTGTGATAAACAAATACAACTGTTAAGAGACTTAGCTAAGTGTTTACATAAGTGGTGTAAGTATGTTAAACATTTACAAAGGTTAGGGGGTTTAGCTAAAGTTTAGCTAAGTTAACATAACTTTTTGAAGTACAGTTCTTATATAGGAAAATGACTATGTTAGGCACGTAAATGACTTGTGTTTCAAGGGTGCATGTATACAGGGGGGGGGGGCAGGGCGGACAATTAAATGCATATCCTGTTGCCATGCAGCCGTTTTTTTTTCAAGAGAACTTGGAAAAGATGAAGCCTGCCTGGGCTACGGCCGTGGAGCAGGCATTGAAGAAAGATGCTCCGGCATTGGAGAGATGGACGGAGATCGAAACTATCCTGCAGGAGAGCAGGAAGTGCTACAGGCAGGTGCTGCGGCCGGGTCAAGTCCTGGTGCACCCGTCGAATCGTTCAGGGTTAGGATTGAATGGAGCCCAAGTTCACAAGACAGGGGCCCAAGTGCAATCTGTAGGCTTCAGCTCCATGGAGCTGAAGCGAAGTGTTTGCATGGAAATATCCACGGATAGAGCTCTGAGCCAAAAGGCCTTTAGTTTCAACAAGCGGCAAGTGGATATGAATGGAGGGCTGCTAGCTGAGGTGCGAGGCGATGAGCGATACAGGTCGTTAGCATGCAGTCACTTTACGGCATTTTGCCGTGCCTGCATTGCAGCATGTCCCTCGGACCAAGAGACGGTGTCGGACAACGGCAAGCTCACGTTGCAGCGATTGTCTACGGACTTTCGGCAGGCCGTGGATAATGGATGGGAGTGGCTGGTGCTGTCAGCGGAAGTTGATGCAGTACTGCACTCGCTGGCCTCCTTCGTTCAGGAAGTCATGAATGCAGCCCAAGGAGTTGCAAGAACGGCAGGCGAGCTGGAGCTCGCCATGGCGATGGTGACCCGAGCAAAGTTGCTGGCAGAGCAAGGTTTGTGCATCGACTGGGATGTTGTGCAAGCTGATGTAGCAGCCACGGTGCCGGATGCCTCGCCACAGACCGTGGCCGCTTGCGGGTTGTTCTGCAGATTCTATGCAGGAGGAACCGAAGAACCTCTGCTGAAGTTTTTGCACGACTTTTCCTTGAAATATGGGGCAAGCAAAAGATTGGGAGAGGAATTCATGTCCACGGGCGCCGGCCTCCGGTTTGCAGGGCAGGAGCGATCGCATGCTTTCGCAAGGGCTGCGATGATCGCGACGAACCTGACAGCCACAAAAGTGGTAGACGGTGTGGCTCGGCTGCTGAGCAAGAGCGATGTCAGCAGGCTCTGTGCGAAAGGCATGGAAGATGCTGTAAAGGAGTGGGAGGAGCTTCTTGCTCGTGCCTGGGCTCACACTCAGAATGTGACGGATGCAAGTGCACGTGCCAAGGCAGTTGAGTGCTTCGGTCGCCTGATGGTTCGCAGCACCCTCTTCATGTGCAAGAAAGAGAAGTCGGGGCAAGAAGGCCTTGAGCACGGGTCATTGGCCAATTTGCTTACTTTGTACGAACACGAGATGGGTGGCAAGAGTGCCGGTGCAACACCGGCTGCTGCTACAAAAGATGGGCCGTCTGATGCGGCCCCTGCGACCTTGGAGAACATGCAGGACCCGGCCTTCCTGATGAAGCTGCAAGGCTTCGCAGAGGGCAACCTGTACAAAGGCAAGCAGAAGTATCAGGACATCTGGCCTTGGAAGCTGGAGAAAATCGGCCAGAGCCACGGCTCTTTCTCGCTGTCTTGCCCAGTGAGCTGGGACAAGAAGGTCGAGGTGCCTCTGAGCGAGCTCAAGAAATTCTTCGATCTGTATAGCGGAGATGCACCCGAAGTGGTGTCTGACTCTGTGGACCGACTGCCCCATAATACGGAGGCTTGCAGCCAAGAGAGACTCCGAGGAGAGGTCTTCGAGCTCTGCTGCGAGTATTTCCTGAAGTACTCGCACTGTGAAGAGGAGTTGACCTTTTTGAAGAATCCCACGTGCTGTCTGTTGGAGGGCAAAGCCAAGACAGGCAAGCTGACGATCTTCCCCTTCACGGATCAGATCTCAAAGGTTGGCTTAAAGCCGGCAGCTGGCAGTGTGGAGGTTTGGCATTCGGCCTCGGGCACAAGCTTGTATAGTTCACCCCCGGCTGCAGCCGGAAGTTTGCTATCTGCCTTCTGGCAGATCCCGGTCGGCTCAGAGCCGAATCTGGCGACAGTCCTTCTGAACGAGAAGGGCTGGCAGATTCCCATTTTGAAGAACACTGCTTCGCTGAAGGAGTGCATCCTGTACAGGCCGAAGCCTGCCGAAAGTTTGAGGGCCTCGGCCCAAGAGCTGGATCAAGGATCCGCTGCCTCGCGAAAGCGAAAGGCTTCTTGAGTTACTCGACAGTTCTCGCTTGCTGAGTTTTCCGGGAAAAGGAGCCAAGGTTGATGTCTGCAATGGAATTTTTTGGCGCTTTTGCAAGTGTGAATTCAAGGATGGTTTGCAGGCACGTGTTGTTGATCTTTCCATAAAGTTCGGCTCAAGGCTAATATAGGTACAATGCCGCTGGTAATCGAAAGAGTATATGTCCTGAAGCTGGATGGTGCCAGCTGGACTGTGGGTGACAAGGAGCTAGAACCAACGGACCATGGTCCGTTTGTGGTGCTTCGTCCATGGAGCCCGGGCTTGTGCAAGCTGCTTTCTAAGCAGCATAGCATAAAACTGCCAAAATACCCGGCAAAGTCATCGTTGTCCCAGAGCGATGTTTATCTATCGCTCGTGGGCTCCCGAAACGATGCCTCCAAGGAGCAGCAGTCCAAGCGGCAGGCAGAGAAACTGAAAGAACAGAGCTCTGGCCTTTTCGGCGGGGAAGACAGCGAGGCTGCTCTAGTGTCTGTAACCGGCAGCTCTCCGAGAAAAGCAGCGAAGACTCGCTTGTCCCGCCGTGCTTCCAGGGAAGCAAGAGCAGAAAAGAATGTGCTGAAGGTTACCTGGATGGGAAAGGAGATCCGTGTCCTGGAGGCTGGCCATGTCACGGATGTGCCCAAACTCCACTTGGATGATATGGCATTGTTCTTTGAAGCAACACAAAATGCCGTGCTTACTGCTGAGTCTTTTCAGACTAGAGCACGGCAAAGCTTTCCTAAGGGAACTGCTGCGAAGGACAAAGTCGTGAAAATCGGCCAAGGCCGCCAGGCTCAACGGACAGGCGACGACAGAAGGTATTCGCTTGTCAAAACAGCCGGGGCCAAGGCCCGGCCCTTGGATCCCCTGCCGCTGCAGGAGGCTGAGGCGACTGCGGCTGCCAAAAGGGCAGCAAAAAGCCAGGGGCAGTCCTCCAAACGGAGGAAGCCTGGGGTGCTAGTGAACTGAAGGTTCGTTTGCTTCAGGAAAACCATGCAAAGCCTTGTTGTCTCATGTGCATGCAGTTGTTTGATTTGTAGCCTCGCATGTGCAGGTTGTGAAGTTTGTGCCGGTGTTTGCAGCTGTTTGGGCTCCTGTAGGGAGCCCTTGGATGGGGGCTGGCCTTTTTTACGAGGCCAGGCAAGGGATCCTTTTAAGTTTCTTTCAAACGAAACATATATACAGATATAGATATGTAACTATAGACTATAGGCAGCCCGGGAGACTGCGGTTTCCTGGACAAAGCCGGGAGACTACGGTCTCCTTATAATTGTGGTGGACCACGGTTTGCCATCTGTCTGTGAGAGGAGACCACGGTCTCCTGCAGAGCTGGCTAGCAGACTACGGTTTGCTTCGTCAGTGATGCATGCATGGGTTGCTTTTCGGCAACCGTGCTGGCCGGCAGAATGCAGGCAGACCAAGGTTTGTTTGCATCTGCTGGCAAGCATGCGAAGCAAGCAGACCACGGTTTGCTTTGCTTTGGGAGAGGAGACCACGGTTTCCTCGTGGGTGCATGCCACGGCATGCACCAAATACTATATGTATATATATATATATATATACATGTGCTAAAAAGAGTCTGGCTTAAGGGATCTTCCCAAAACCCTATACCCTCCCCGATCCTCTATAAACCCTTTTTTTGTCCTGGCCAGGCGAAGTCGTCGGCCATGCCCAAGCACCGGGACCAGGATAGAAGGAGGAGGAGCTCGAGCTCAGAGGATAGAGAAGAACGACGAGATCCTCGACTACGGTCGAGATCTCACGAAGAGTCTCACGAAGAGTCCGAGGACCAAAAGAAAAAGGAGGAGGATGGCAACAAAAAGCCAGAGGAGAACGAGAACAAGAAAGAGGAGGAGGAGAACTTTGAGGAGGAAACTGTGGCCTCCGAGGAGGCAACTGAGTCCGAGGACAAAGAAAAGGATCCGGAGGAGGAGCCGGAGGAGGCTACGGCCTCGAAGCCAAAGGAGGCGGCCTCGGAGGCTGCGGCCTCGAAGCCCAGAGTCCCTTCTCTGGATGAGAAGACTGTTGATTGGCCGATAAGTGCCGCCGGCAGGCAGAGGCTGGAGAGAATGCAACAGCCAGGGTCGCGGCATCCCAGGCAGCTCTCCAGTCCTGGGCAGAAGAAGAGCAGGCCAGAAAAAAAAAGAAGGATAAAAAAAAGGGAAAGAAGGATAAAAAAGAGAAGGAGAAGGATGAAAAGAAAAGCGAACGAGAGAGATCAGAGAAAAAGGACAAGGAGGTGGATGAAAAATTGAAGGGGGCAAATGCGAAGGCAGCAGATGAGAAGAAGGACAACAAGCCTTCGGACGGGCCCAAGGGCCCGTCCAAAAAGTGCCCCATTTGCTGGAGGTGGATACAGGAGCATGCGGCCGCCCGTCGCCAGCACCGATTGTCGGTGTTTCACCGAACTTGGAAATACATAGCCCAAGGGCTCAGCAAGGAGGCTGCTGCAGGCCGGGCAAAGCGCCGGTTCCAGGAGCACTGGCAGCCCGGGAGGGAAGAGGAGAGCGAAGAGGAATCCGAAGTCCCAAGGTGGGAGCTGCGGCGGGATTCCGGCAACAAGGGCCATGGATTATGGCGACAAGGGCCAGGGATATGGCGACAAGGGCCAGGGATATGGCTATGGTGATGTGAGAGGCGGCTCCGGCCCCTCGGGGGCCAAGGCCCATACCGAAGCTGAGAAGGGCCGTCCTGAGCAGGCTAAGGGCACGAAGAAGAGAAAAAAGCCCGGGGCAGGAGAGACAATCTCCCTGATTGAGCCCGAGGATGACAAAGAGGATCGAAAGCCGGTGAAGCTTTTGCCCAGGAGTTTGCCAGCTAAGGCTGGCAAGACCGGCCAGGACAAGAAGAAGGGCAGCAAGGCTAAGGGCAGCAAGGCTAAGGCCAAACGTAAGCGACAGGAGTCGCCGGTACGGGACGATGATCACGTCCCAATGCCGGACAAGAAGGACCCGGACGATCCGGAAGGAGGGTCTGGGAGCTCCTACGGGAAAGTGGTGACGAGCCTTTTCCAAATCGCCTGCCAGGAGCTTCGGCAGCGGTACTAGCTCGGCAGCCGCCTGCCGTCTTCCGAAAAACCAGAGTGCCGGCTGCCGTCTGGTGAAAAAAAGAGTGTCTCCGCGCTTTTTTCTCTTCTAGGGTTTAGGGTTTAGGGGTTTTTTTTTTAAGAATAAATTTCGGTTATCCTTAAGATTGGAACCTTATTCAAACGTAGAAAATATGATATAGTTTTTTCTATATCATATATATTGAAAGGAAACCATATGATATAGCATATTCTATATCATATGATGGCATCGCTTGCCATATGATATAGTTTCTACTATATCATATGAGTCTGTGGGGCCAGATATCATATGATATAGTTTTTTCTATATCATATGTAATATTTTGGCCTCATATGATATAGTTTCTACTATATCATATGATTGACTTTGTTTTCATATGATATAGTTTTTTCCATATCATATTTTGAGGGTTTTGTGGGCCTGCCGAAATGTGTTCTCTGAGCAGCGGAAAGCAGGGCCCAAGCAGCCGTGCAGCATGCATACAGATGCCCAGAGTCGAGCACAGACAAGGTTTGGTGCAGTTGTGTTCGCAGACAGGCACCCCTTCCTGGGGCCATTTGTTGTGTCACCCGTCCTGTAGCTTGGATTGTTGTTGCCATGGAGACCCAGCATCCAAGGATGCGAGAAGCCTCCACGGAGGCGTGTGGAAGCCTCCACGGAGGCGTGTGGGAGCCTCCACGGAGGCGTGTGGAAGCCTCCACGGAGGCGTGTATGTGGCTGCTTGCTGCTGCAGGCACAGGGAGAAGAAGGAACTCTCCACGGAGATGTTCCGGCATTTGCTGTTGGTGCGGTGCCGTGGTGATATAGGGCCATGGCCTCCAGCAGCACCGATGCTTTTGCTGAAAGACCAGCGAAGCTTCAGAAGGTGAATGCTCTGAGAAGGAAATTGCCCCATCTCACAGCCTCGGCTTTGTCCGAAGTTTGCAAAGTTCTGCGGGACGAGGGTGTCCCGGAACTCACACAAAGAAAACATATAGCCGAGGCTGCCTGGCAACCCCTGAAAGAGAATAGGATCCTCAATCGTCTGTCACTTTTGCAGACAGATGGTGCAGAGCTGCAGATACCCAGTGTCGATTTTTGGGCTCTGCTGCAAGCTGCTATCTCGGATGCCGACAGCAACTTCGCCCAATATTTTTGGGCGTGCATCGACAAGAATCCTCCGAGCCCCAGCTCGGCATGGCGGCTGATCCTCTATACGGACGAGATCGTGCCGGGTAATCCTTTGGCAGTCCAGACGAAGAGAAAAATCTGGGCTTGCTATGCCTCGTTCGTAGAACTTGGAAGCTATGCATTGCAGCACGAGGAGTCGTGGCTATGCATAGGACTGCTCCGATCCAGCCTGATGGCCAAGGCCGAAGCAGGTGTCTCTCAATGGATCTCGAAAATCCTGCGAGACATATTCATGCGGCCGGCCAACCATTTGGAGCACGGGTGCATATCGTTGCAGCGACCAGGAGGTCCGCCCGTCCTCTTCCGGGTGGTTTTGTCAATGATCGTTCAAGACGGTGGTGCCCATAAAGCTCTACTTAAAGGATCATGGGACTTAGTAACTAAGGTTATTATTAGGGTAACTATACTTATAACTGCTTATAACCCCAATTAGGGTACTTATAACCACACTTACTAAGTCCCATGATCCTCCAAGTATGGAGCTGCAAGGGGGATGCTGGCACCCGCATGTGCATGCAGTGCAGGAATGTAATAGCACAACGATGTGATATCCTGCACAGCAGCGGGCTCCCCGTGGTCGGTTCCTCTGAGATCCGAGAAAGTAAGCTTTCGCTTGCGACCGACCAATCCATCCACGAGGCCATGGCTAAACTGGCAGAGAAGAAGATGCTTCTGAATGCTGCAGATTTCAGCACGTGGCAGCAAGCCACCGGCTGGACTTATAATAGTTGTTCCCTGCTGCAACAAGAGGATCAACGATGGCTGGTCCGGCCGGTCTCACAGTATTGCCACGACAGCATGCACACCCTGCTGGTCTCCGGTGTCTTCCAGACAGTGACCTGGCTTGTTTTGGAAGCTTTGCAGAAGCAGTTTCCCAATCTCTGGGAAATCGCCGACGAGTACGTGGCCAAGTGGACCCTGCCCCGGAACATCTCGGCCAAGGCCGAAGGGATGCTGGGTCAGTCCCGAGCAAAAGCATGCAAGGAAGCCGAGACCTTTAAATGCACGGCCTCCGAAGGCTTGACACTGTCTCCAATATTGGCTTGTTTCTTCAGGCAGCTCGCCAGGGCAAATGCAAATGTTGAGGCAGTGCAAGCGATCCAATGTTTCTTGCAGCTGGACAAACTCGTGGCATGCTGCCAGAGAGCTCGCAGTGAGGGAGCGGTTTCGCCCGGCCAGATGAGAAAGCACGTTTCCGATTTCTTGCAAGCAGTGCATGCTGCTGAGTGGCAGGACCGCATGCATTCCAAGTTCCATTGGCTTCTCCACTTCGGTTCGCACCTGGAAAAGTGGGGCTTCATGGTTCAGTGCTACACTCACGAAAGAAAGCATCGCACTATCAAGAGATTCGCCGAGGACATCAAGAAGACTTCTGCTTACGAGCAGGGTCTTCTCCGAGAAGTTCTTGGACAAGAACTATATTGCTTGGCAAGAGCTGATTGTTTCGCAGCGATGCTGCAGTTGCAGGACCCGAAGCCAGCTTCTCGGAGGAAGGCGGCAGCACTTCGCAAAATCATTCCGGAGCTGACCTCGGCACAAGTGATTCATGTGGCAGAAAAAGTCAGGCTGCCCTCCGGGGAACGGATATGTCGTGGCGATGCGGTGCTGCTTGAAGGGAACGGTTGCTTGGAGTGTGCCCTTGTCTGGGCATTCGTGGAACTGGCAGGGCAAGCCTACAGTGTTGTGCATTCCATTTCTTCTCTGCTTTGCGATGACCTCGTGGGGGAGTGCTCCTGCATAGACAGCCTGCATCTGCTGCCATGCAGAGACTTTCTGTGTGCATGCACATGGAGAGACATGGCCGGAGGCCGACGACAAATCATCCTGCCTGCTTCCCTCCGATGAAAAAGATTGATCCTGCATGCATCCTGGATTTTGGGAATCTGCACGTACACACACATGCAGGCGACCTGTACCATGCTCTTTTTCCATGGATGTGCATGCAGCTGCCATTTTGGCTCCTGTAGTGGGGTTGTAGCATCTTGGCTTCTCCTTTTCTGGCCACGGCTATATATATCTCGCCACGGCGAGATGGCCCGAGAGTTGCAGGCCGAGTTAAGCCCTATGGCCGAGTGGGCACAAAGTGGGAGCAAGGCTTCGGTCGATGCTTTGATGAACAGCTGGTGCACCCGGCTGGAGAGCCTTGGCTCTCTGTCGTTAGGGCAAGCCATGCAGATGAAGCAGACGATCCAGGATCTGAGCTTCGAGAGCACCCTGTCAGAACGGTTGCTTGAAAAAGTTGAAGCCAAAGTTCTGGCAACGGCCACGGCTGCAACACCGCCGCCAGATACTACATATACGCCTCACAAGCGAAAGGAGGAAAGCAAGCCGCAGACCTTGCTGAAGCCGGAAAACTTCATCACGGTCACTGAGTGGTCTATGCTGGAAAAGTCGCCAGCACCGGCAAGGCTGGAAATCCTTCTGAAAAGGTATCTGCAGCTGGGCCTGAGGAACCTCACAGAACAGACGGTCAAGAAAGGCCTGGCCTTCCTCTTGGCACTGGCAGCCGGCGAGCTCAGTCAGATGCCGACATATGAAGAGATCTACGAAGAGGTCCAGGTCTTCAAGAGATCTTGGGAATCCGTGAAAACGGATGCAGAGCCGACTGAGGTCGGCCTGCTCACGTATCCCGATGACCCCAGCAGCTTGCCGAAGGCTCTGTTCGACCGAGCCTACAAGGCTGAGGACCCGCCCATGGGCAAAGACGTGAGGGCTGGGATCTGGCTAGCTCACATTCCGATGCGATCTACTTCCAAGCTCTTGCAGAAGAACAAGAAGCAGAGGCTGCCGAGGCCAGATGGCCAGGCCGCCGTGTCTGAGCAGCATGCGAACGAGTTCCAGAGCCGCATGGAGCAGTGCTTCGGGCGACTGGAAAGAATGCTGGACCAGGGCTGCGGTCAGAATGCCATCCAGGATGGTGGGCGAAGGGAGCTGCAGCTTGCTGCAGGCGCAAGTATCTTGCAAAGGAGGACTGCATGCTTCTTTTATCTTTTCCTTTGTTTTGCATCTGTATATACACAGCCCATGCATGCCTTTCCATTTGTATACCTGCTGCAGGACCCCTGGACGGAACTCCATCACAGGAGGCGAGCTGAGCAGCAGCAGTGCCGGGGTCGGCTTTGCTCTGGGCAACCCAGCCCAGCCGGTTTCGGCTGCGACACAGCAGACCTCGCCAGGGCGACAGTCGGCCTTGCAGCTAGCCCTGCCTCCAGCCGAAGAACCCGAAGCAACGGAGTCGCTCCCTGCCGAGAACGATCTCGAGGACGAAGCTTTGTTCAAGAAGCTCAAAGATCGCAAAGCTGGGATTCTGAAGAAGCCGGCCGCTGCAGCTGCAGCGAGTGGCCAAGGAAACTTGGCAAAGAACAAGACAAAAACGAATGGCCAAGGCCAAGATCCAAAGAAGAAGGGCAGCGGCAAAGGCAAAGGAAAGCCCAAGGACAAGAGTGCTTCGAAGAAAGGCCAAGGCAAAGCAAAGGAGCAGCAAGCCCAAGGCTCGCATGGAAAGCGGAAGTTCCAAATTGTCTGGGAGGACGGCTGCATCCAGAAGAACTATGCTTCTCGCATGCACAAGCGAGCCGGAACGTGGGCAAAGCAGCAAGGCTTCTCGGAGCAGCAAGTGGTAGAGTGCCAGCGAGAGGCCCACAGAGAGGCCATTCTGCTGTGGAAGAAGAAGAACGGCTGCTAAGCCAGCTGTGCAGGGCTCGAAAGCGATGCCAACCAACTTTTTGCTTCTATGTGTGTATGCACACATGAGCACTGCACCGAAAATCGGTTAGCATGCTGCACAGATAGATCATTATATACCATGCAGCAAAGTAGCTGCTGACACACGAGTGCATCGCAAGGAAACAGAGGCATGCGAAGGGTTTTCATGAACGACCGGCATGCAAAAAAATAAAAGACTCTGTTTTGCAGGGTTCGGGTTTAGGGTTTGAGGCTTTTATGTTCAGGGCTTGGAAGGTTTAGACGTATAAGGGACCCCTTTATGTTACTTAGACTAACCCCCTTTTTCTAAGCTATGCTAACCCCTATAGCTAAACCAACTTAACCCTGTACATTTGTTTGTAAACAGATAGCTAACCTCGTAAAGTATGTTAACCATTTACAAGCCACCGGTTCTTCCCAGTAATGCTAGGATCCTGGTGCCTCGGTTCACTTCGGACTCACTTTGCACTGAGCCAGTCCCTTACAAGTTGTGCTTCACTGTGGTGCACGAGGGCAACACCGTGCACTCAGGTCACTACCAGTGTGCAATGGCCACCGCCGGTGAGCCAGCAATGCTTCTCTTGAGCAACGATGGCACAGCTGCTAAACCAGTCAAGGCAAGTCAGAAGCCCTGGATTGAAGCCAACTGTTACTTAGTGTGTCTTCGTGCCATACAACCCTAGCTTGCTCTCGTTGCTCGGTGAGGGGTTTTTGGCCGTGCAATGCAAGTAGCGATAGCCGTTTGCTGCCTTGAGCGCCTTTAATCCTCAGGTTCTATGTTTGACCCGCCATCCCAGTGACCTTCAGCACTTTGCAGCAAGCGCCGTCTCTCAACAGAGTTCCGCTGCCTGCAATCGCCTGCAAAGCACTTGTGACCAGTGCCTGTGTAAGTCGACAGTTTTCTGAGCGAGTGAAGCCGTAGCCACGCCTTAGGCTGTAGCCGGTAGCCATACTGTATGCAGTGATTCTCATTTTGTTGCTTTGCATGTACTTCACGGTTCGACTGCTTAGCAGTCCGCTGCGAGTCGAGCTCTGGACTAGTTTTGCTGTTTTGCGTAGGTTCAGCGCTGAGCTGTCTCAGGAGAGCGGTTGCTGTTGCTGTAGCTTCAAGCCGGGCCATAATATATGGCTTGCCTACCGACTGCCCCCGCAAGGCAACGACCAGTTGCTGCGAACGGAAAGGAAAAGTGAGTTTTTGAGAATCTGAGTTTTGTTTTCGTGTGCCTTTATCACGAAAACATTTTCTGTTTTCACAGAGCTTTGTCATTTAATTTCACGTGGGGGGTTTGGCACACGGGCTTTCCTTTTCTCACTTTGCATCTCTTTACGAAGATGCCTTGAGAATCCATGTCGTGTGCCTGCAGTCGTGTGGCTCTGCTGCAGTCACCGTGAAATTTTCTTGAAGCCTCGGGGCCCTTTGCGTGAGTGCGGTCTCGACGTGCGTCAGTGCTCCCGGCGGTGGTGGCAGTTCCGGGCCTCTGTGCCTGGGCTGCGAGTCGGAGTGAGATACACTGGACACCCGGGGCCGCCACTCCGCAACACGTGGCATCTAACAGGTTTCAGGTGCTAGTTGCGAGGCTTCTTTAGCTGGCTGCTGCATGGAACCTGCGGCCGCAGACACAGAGTCGCCGCCTGAAACTTTACTTGACGTCTTGGGCGCTCCGGAGGTCTCTGTGTGCATTGCCAGCTTCCTGGAAGCCAGGGATCTTTGGGCATTGGAGAGCTGCCACTTTTGGGCGGCGAGTGATCTCAGGTGGTACTTGCGAGGAGAATCGGTGCCTTCTTCTAGGGCTCCTTCTCCGGTTCCTGCTGGCTAAAACGACATGTCTTCTTCAGGCGCTGCTGCCGAGGCATCAGTCGATTCGGGGGGTGCTCCTTCCGAAGCCAGTTCCGAGGTCTTATCTTGGGACCGATTACCGAGGAAGGTCCGATTTGCGATCAGCAAGGATGGGACACAGCCAGGCTCTTCACTGCTTGCAACCTTATTTGTGGATGAGCGGGATTTATCTGCTTTTCTGGAAAAGTTGGGTTTTGCTTCTGGGTCTGTGGGGTGGTTGTCCTGCCTACGCATTCTGGTGCACCTTTGACGCGAATGGTCAGGCCAGCAGAGCCTGGAGAGCTCGTGCAATGCAAGGGCTACATCAGATTCATCATGTCGGGTCACCCTTGAAGGATCTGTTTCAGGCGGCTCCTCCTTCACATGAGTGGCTTGCAACGAAGTCGGGGGCCAAACGGCTTCTTCTTCGTTGGCCTACTAGGAGGGATAAGGAGCTTGCTCTTTCTTCTGAGTCTCATTCGAGGGCCCGTGTTGAGGCCTCAGAGTTGAACCGATGGAGGACTCGGCTTGTTTCTGCGTTGAAGGAGTGCCGAATGCCTGTATGTTCTCATGCCGCTTTTGCTACAGATCCTGACAAGATCCTCTTAACCAGTTCGGGCAACGTTCGTTCTTCCACTCTCAGGTCCCGCATTCGCGAATGGGGGAAGTTTTCAGCATGGTGCATGGCCACCGAGGGGCGACCTTTTCCGTCTCATGTTGGTCTTTTGCTGGATTACATTGAGGAGCTTCGGGAGCAGCCTTGCGCCAAGACTCGCCTCAAGTCAGTGCTTTCTGCCACTGCCTTCTTTGAAAAGGCGGGAGGCATCAGGAGGGAAGCGACCATGTCGCTACAGCCGATCGTCTTGAATTTGGTCAACACGCGCACCGCGGAGCTGGAGGTCGGGGCTCCTCCTACCAGGAGAGCAGTTCCACTACCGATCTTCGTTGTAATCTCGCTGGAACTGATGATTTCTTCAGTGGATGTTCCGAAGTATCTGCGTGCTTATGCTTGGATCAAGTTGTTCAAATTTTGGACATCGAGCAGATCTGACGACCTTCAGGGGGCCTCCTTTGATTCCATGGTTCTTTCGGAGTCGGGTCTCAGGGGACATTTTGACAGAACCAAGACAAGTGGGGCAGGGAGGAAGGTGCGCTTTCTCCCTTTCTTCGTCTCGGCTGATGCTTGGCTGGCTAACAAGGATTGGCTCAGGCAGGGCTTCAAGATTTGGAGGGGAGCTGAGTTTGGCTTTAAGCGGGACTACATGGTCCCGCGCCCCACCCGCAATCTTCAGGGCTGCAGGCCGGTGCTGGCTTCGTACAACGATTTGGCGGCGATGTCGAGGCTGGTGCTGGCTTCATTGAGGTCTCCTGCATATTATGAGGGGGATTGGTTTCTCTCGGACGCTAAGCTTTTGGATGCTGAACTGATCAGAGTTTTCACTGAACATTCAGAGAGAAGCTGCATGTCTACCTTGGCGGCTTGGGCTGGGATCGACCGTGAGAGGAGAGACTATCTTGGACGGTGGCATATCGTGGAAGCCGCTGATGTGTATGTTAGATCCGCATGGAAAGTGGTCAGCTCACTGCAGGCATTTGTCGTGTATGCGCTTGCAACTGCAATCGAACTCTGCAAGGTCGGGGTTAGTGAAGCTCAGGAGCGGCTTCAGGACAACGGTTGCGGAGATGAAGCTGCGAGGGGCTTATCCGAGTCCTTGCTTACTCCTGCTTCTTGGATGGGATGGAGATTGTCCTTTATTAGCAGTCGCCCAACTTTGCCTATGGTCGATCGCCCGGCACCGGCGGCTGATCCGGGACCTGCTGCACAGGACTTTAAATTCTTTGTGGCTGTTTTGGGCAAGAGGTCGCTTCGACGACTTCATCGCAAGGGCGGCTGCGGGACCAAACCAAGTGATCTGATCCGTTGCGAGTTTTACGACTCCTTAGAGGGGGTCGAGTATGATAATGAGTGCAAGCACTGTTTCAAGCCGGAACCCTCAGCAGTGATTCCTTCAGAGGAGGCTGAGGCTTCAGATGAAGGCTCGTCGAGCACATCGCTCCTGAGAGTGGGACTGGGTCGCCTGTGACAAGAAGGCTGCACCGAGCTATCGTGGGGCTGTGTCGGTGATCTTATTGTGTGTTTTACATTTCTTTGGAGCCTTTGTAGGCTGGGGTCGTTTGTGGAGATTTTATTCCGCGATTCAACATGCTGGTTGCGTGTCGTGGTGTCAAGATGTTGATTCGTGGAAATTACATTCCATGGTTCAACATGCGGATTGGAAGTCGTGCTTATCGACTTTGATCGGGGAAGTTTCCTCGGTTGTGATTGTCTTGTTCGCTGCACAATGCATCATCGGATGGAGTTGGAAACAAAGACTTCGTGTGCGCAGCTTGATCGGTTGTGCAATTGCACAGGAACCGATCAGACAGAAGGGGGCCGGTCTGGTCAACTTCGGATGGGCCCAAGCTAGATTGTTCTGGACCCAATGACGCCCGAGCAGCTTGCAAATCTGGAGCGCCTGACTACCGATCTCCGGTTCCACCTGGATCAGGCTGAGGTGGAACCAAAGTGGCAGGCTCGATTTGGGGCCTTGGGGATCATTTCGATCCCATTATTTGCCGGGCTTGATGAGGACCGCGAAAAGGTGCGGGGGGCCCTGGCTGCTGACCTCCCTTTACCGTATCAGGACGGCGTCGCCCAAAGGCTGGAGATGGCTCGCATCCTCAGTGCATGGGAGGCTGTGAAACTTCATCTGGAGGTCAGTGAGAAGAATCGCGCGGAAGCTCGATTGGGCACCCAGCAGAGGTTGCTGCAACCTAATGAGCAGCACAGCATGAGAGTGGCCGTCGAGACAGTCCTGGGAAAACTCAAGGACAAAGAGGTGCCCTCGCGTTCGCTTTTGGCTGCGAAGCTGGAGCAGATCGAATCAAATCAACCAATCGTTGAAAACCTTCAAGAAGTCGCTTCATTGGAGGATAGTGAACTCGATACTTATTCGGCGGTCATCGATCCGATGACGAATGTCTTGAAGGTGAAGCCGGGCAAAACCTTAACCTCTTTGCCTCAAACTCCAGAGGAGCTGCGACTTCGTCACCGGCGCATCGGCTTAGCTTGGGACTTCTTGGCTACCAAGCACTCGAGCCGCCCTTGGCTTTCGAGGAACCTG